TAATATAATTAAATAATAATTAAATAATAATTAAATAATAATTAAATAATAATTAAATAATAATTAAATAATAATTAAATAATTAAATAATTAAATAATTAAATAATTAAATAATTAAATAATTTAATAATTAAATAATTAAATAATTTAATAATTAAATAATTAAATAATTTAATAATTTAATAATTTAATAATTTAATAATTTAATAATTTAATAATTAACAATGTAATAATAAAAATAATATAATAATATAATAATATTAACATTATTTAATATTAAAACATATCAAAATCAATTTAAAGAAATTGAAGTCTTCTCTCGATAACTGCCAAGTGCTTCCTGAAGCATTGCAAAAAGTGTTTCAATTTTTAAATTGGCTCTTAGGGCAAATTTGACATTTGAAAAGTACCTTTCAATACACGCAGAACTTGGTATTATTGCAATACAGCAACACACAACTTCGTACAACTTTGGGAATTCTTCCCGCTTAAAAGGAAAAAAGTCGCGTAAACTGATTCTTCTTTTGATTCCAGTTCTTTCTCTTATTTTTTGTTCAAATACACTCTGATGATGTTTTGATCTGAAATCACAGCAAAATTTCTCGATTGACAACCCTTGTTGGACACGGATTCGTTCAATTTCAACGCCAAATAAATCTATTTCTCTTTGAATATCTTCATAACCTGGACCAGCTGTGAATTTACCTTCCATAATGATAGTTTCTGGACAATAGAAAATATCAAATAAATAATCCAAATCTCGTTTTTCTATCATTTCTTTTTCAAGTGCTTCTCTTATTATAAAATGTTCACAATCAATTTGTGTTTTTGTGTTAACATTAATCGTTTGATCACAATTAAAATAACGCAATTCGAATTGAAATTTTAACTTCATTAGAACTTGAAGTACAACTGACGGATTATTTATACACTTTGAAGTTTTAGGGAAATAACACTCGTCAAGTTCTGTTTTATTTTCAATTGATTCTTTGACTGATTTGATTATAACATCAATGTAAACTCCAAAACATTTTGTTGTTTCTATAAGGTCTGGAAGTATACAAAGACGTGTTTGTGATTCAATGCACAACTCGTTTACAAGTGTGTAAATATCATTGAACAAACACACACTAAAATGTATATAGGAGTTGTTCAAAGAAAATATTTCGATATAATCTTGCATTTCAACGTCAAATTCTTTAATTTGTTTTTCGACCATTTCACCAAATACATCTGCCTGTTGTTCTTCGTCTTGGACAAATTGCTCAATTAAAGATTCGCTTTTCAAAATTGCAGACGAAGAATTTGCCATATAATTCCACCTTGTTGCAGAGTAAGTGGACAATTTACATTTCTTTATGTTGTTGGAATTGCAAAAAGTGTAGTATTCTTTTAGCTTCGTTGAATTACACAACCATTTAATAAATGTTGTCACTATATCAAATGGTGCTTCCATTCCTACATCTTGTGCAAACAAGTTGCATCTATGAGCGGGGCAGTGTACTCCATAAAACTTTCTTTCGATTATATTTCCTTCTGTGTTTTTTTAAAAACCAGTTTCATTTTCACGTGTTTAATCATACCGTTATCACACCCCATATTTGCTAATGCACCATCTTGTGTGCTTCCAATAAATTTGCGCAATGGGAACAACACTTCTTTGTTGGTATCAAAAGCAAGTGAATTAAAAATCCATTCACACATTGATTCACCATCACTTTCTCCAAAATACTCTGACAATAACAAGGGACACTCATAAAAATCAAATTTCATGCACACACGAATAAAAATTGCGACAAATGTTATACCATCCTTTTTATACGTATCAGTTGCTATGGCAAAACATACACAATTTCTAACATCGTTAATAAGTTGTGTCGATGTGATACTGTTTTCACTCTTCAGTCGACTACGCGCACTTCTAAAACTAACTGCGAGTTTTTTATATATATCAACTGCTTCTGGAGTCAATTGAGATGAAGAAATCACTAACGATTGTTTCAAAATTGAACAACACGTATCAGAAAATTTGTATTTGGTTGTCAAATGATTTATGATGTTTTGAACAACTTTACGTTTATGAGTCAAAACTTTTTTTTCGTTGTTGTTGTGTTGTAACTTTTTCGTCCTTTGATGAATCTGAAAACAGTATGTCACAAGCTCCTTTAAATTTAATTAAATCGATTCCAATTGGAGCTTTACAAAAATGAATTAACTGTCTCGAAATTTCCTCGTCATCGTAATCACTAAATGGAGTTACAGTGTATGACGCAAAAACACCGTCGTTGAAATTGAACAGTTCCTCAACAAAGTTTTCAAGTTCTGACACTTCACATGTTAAATCTTCAGACTCCATTTCATTTTGGTGTTCAACTGTTGAGGAATCATTTAATAAATTTTGTGTTTGTGAAGAAATTGCATTTGAGAAATGTTCTTGATTTTGGAGATGAATTTCTCTTGTTGATGTAATCTGATG